CTGAATTAAAATTCAAGAAAGTTAAAAACCACTCTTTCTTAGGAATTTAAAAATAACAAGAACTCCTTTGAGAACTGGCATAACTACTAGTCCCCTATGGATATGGAGTACTTAAAAAAAAATTGTACCCTAGTTAATGCAGCTTTCAAAAGTGCTTCCTTTATTTTTAGGAGGACTAACCCTTCCCTGCATCTAATTTGCCATCCTGGGTGTGGGGAGTACCTGCCTTATAAATGGTTGAACATTTTCTAATTTGATAAAATGAAGCAAGAAAACTTAAGAATCCTTGTAAAATGGAGTTTGTAAACCTAAATAATCAAGAGCTTGCTCTGAAATTTTGTGTTTTATGTGACTCAATTCTTTTTCAATCAATATAGGCAAAATCTCCAGTTAGTATAGGTGAAATATCCACTCAACTAATTTTTAACATTTTTTTAGGAAATAATAGAGAATGCGAAATTTAAGATTTACATGACGCTAGAGTTTGTCCCATTCAAACTGTTATTTATTTATTTTTTTTAATTTGAGGAAACTGAAGCCTGAAGAAGTTGTTATGTGTCCAAAATAGGTGATACTCACTGGACACTAAGTCATTTTCTTTATATATCCCAAAGTATACAGTGTTATGCCCTGTTTTCATCCTCTATAGCCGTGTAACAATTTATACCAATAATTAGTGGTTTAAACCATCAAACATTTAAAATATCAGTTTCTGTGGATCAGGATCTGGGTGCAACTTAGCTGGGTGGTTCTGGTTTAAGGTCTCTCATGAGGTTTCAGTTCTGCTGTCAGCTGGGGCTGTAGCTTCATCAAAAGGTTCAACTGGGCAGGGGGAATGTGCTTTCAAGCCAACTCATGTGGTTTTTGGCAGGCCTCAGTCCCTTGTCATGTGCACCTCCACAGGGCTGTCTCGTGACATGGCAGCTGGTTTTCCCCAGGGCAAGAAATGCAAGAGGAAAAAGAGAGAGAGACAAATGGAAATTATAAACTTTTCATAACTGAATCTTGGAAGTGACATCCCATCACATTTGTTTTTCTCTGTTAGATCTGACTCAGACTAGGAGGCAGGTTCTAGATAGGATGTGAATACTAGGAAGGAGGAATCATCAGAGGCCATCTTAGAGGCTACTACATGCTTACCACAAGCCCAGAGAAAATATTCCCCAAGTACTTGTCAAGTAAATTAAAAGATGTGTTAGTTATTTAACTCTTTACAGTAAAATATCTCACATAATAAATTGGAATACGAACTCTGGATTAAATAATAGTATTCTGTGTATGTTATTCTTGCTGATTTTATACTTACTGTGGTCATGTAAGAGTGTGTTCTTATACTTATGAAATATGCAGTGAAGTTTTAGGATTAAAAGGGAAGATGGTTCAAACATATGCACACACACACAGAATAAGAGAGGGAGAGAGAGAAATAATTTAAAAGCAAACATGGCAAAATACACACGATTGGTGAATTGGAGTAAGGAGTTGAATTAGTTTTCTAGGGCTGATTTAACAAATTGCCATGATCTTGATGGCTTAAAATAACAAACATTAACTTTCTTACTGGAGTTTTGGAAGACAGAGGTCTAAAATCAAGGTAATAGCAGGGATAAGCTCCCTCCAAGAGGCTATAAAGGAGAATCCATTTCTTTACCTCTTGTAGTTTTGGTGGCTATCAGCAGCATGCATTGACTATGGCTGGGAAATCCTGATCTCTGTCTCCATCTCCACTCTGCCTCCTCCTCTTTACTGTGGATCTCTTCTGTCTCTCTCAAGTCTCCCTCTGCCTTTCTCTTATAAGAACACTTGTCATTGGATTTAGCACCATCCTAAACCAGGGTGATCTCCTCATCTCAAGATGTTTAATTTCATCACATCTATAAAAACCCTCTTTCCAAGCAAGCTAACATTACTAGGTTCCAGGGATTCGGCATGGACATGTATTTTAGAGGGTTACCAGACAACCCATTATATGAGTATATAGAAATTCTTTGTACAATTCTTGTAACTTTTCCGTAAGTTTAAAATTATTTGAAAGCAAAATACTCAAGAACAAAAAACAGATTACATTGTCAAGTCTGTAATAATCCAGAAAACATGGCATCTGACAAGCTTTCTTTTAAAGATAAAACTTTAAAAAAATATGTACAGATATATCAAATTGGAATAAGGTGTTTTGTGAATTTGTGCTTCATCATCATTCACTGTTTGAAGTCAATGGAGATTATGTAATGTCAAACTCTTTTCCATGTTGTCTGGCCTCTCAAACATTTGCTTTAATCTTTGTAGAACATTTAAGATATCAAAGGTCACTTTTATTTCAAAAGGAAGGGCTGTATTCTTAATTGTACTACTTTATAGGAAGACTAAATGAGACTTTCTATGATGTTAATTGCCACAAGATGACAACTTTTTAGTAGGGTCTTGAAGCACAAAGGAATATTTTTGTTTTGTATGTTTGATCTTGATTAGTTTGTCTTCTTTTCAAAAATGTGTATTGATCTTAAGAATCACCCTTCTTTTTTCATTTCTTTAGTCATCATTGTGCCCTAAATTTGATTGTTTCTTAGCTACATATTGAGTTAAAGTGGCCTTGTGTCGTATCTCTACTAAATAAAATGATAAGTGAATGAATCCTATCATCTAAGTCTATACCAAATGATAGTTGAAACCATGAGGACTAAGGTGAGCATTCCATTGAAGCAACTGCAGAAAAAAATATCACACACACACACACACACACACACACACTAACATATACATAGAACAATTTTAATCCTATATTGGGAAAAATGGAATAGCTAATGGAATAATGATGGAAGACAAATATTTTACTAACTGTAGGAATTGGCTACTTAACAACTGGGATCAGTCATTCCAGTCCAGATAAGCTACTTGAGGCTTGCAGATTGTGTTTTTCAGCATTCTATCCTCAGCGCCTAACATATTGTTTATGTAAAGTAAATATTAGCTACGTAAATGTATGTATCATGAGTGATTTTATGAATTAATTCACACAACAGCCAAACATAGTCAAGCATAAATGTGTTGAATTTAAATCAAACAGTCATGGGGATGATGGAACTTACAATCAAATGTGTGTGCGTGTATATGCGTGTGTGTATACACATTCATATGGCTCTTTTTCTTGGACATTCTTTAAAGAATTGTGGAATCAGTCTCTAAAGCTGAAAGCAAACTCAGGTGGTCATCTGGTTCTATGCCTTTCTTCAAGAGACAAGCAATTATTATCCCCATGATCTATTAAGCCACATTTTCTTTAGCATGTGACAGCTAAGGTGATGCTGATCGAAAAATATTGCTCTCCATTCTTAAACAATTTCACATGCACATAGATGTTTAACAAGCGCCTTTTTTGGAGCTATTATGAGAAAACACTAGCAGCCTTGGTCTGGAGGAGTAATTTATGACAACTAGGTAAAGGGTGTCCAAGATCATCTTGATCGCATTAGCCATGCAGTAGCCCTACCCCTGCGCTGCGGTCTTTCTTTAACCCTGGTGACAAGAGTGATAAAAAAAATAATGACACAGTGAGTCGTCCTTTAGCTACTCACTCCGTTGCTTCTTCTAGTACCTGCTGCCTCAGATCGCCTGTCAGTAAGTGAACAGGAAAGGAGAAACTGCAGAGGAGTGAGAGTGTGAGCGTAAGAAGAGAGGCAGCTAATAGATGGCTTGTGTCCCAAACTCTCCTCCCCAACCTTTCTTCCCTTTTGGTTTGTTAACTAGAAATGTGGAAAGGTGAGGGAGATGAATTTAACTTGTTCTGACATTAGTTAGAGACAGAGAAGTGTGGCTACTTCCATAATATTTCTGCCCCAGAGAGAGGTAATTGGAAAACGTGTTGTGTGGTTAGGTGTTGTAATGAAAAATAAAGGAATGATCGAGAACAGCAGAATCAAATTATAAGCATAAAGGCAAGTGTGCTGAAGTTTTTAGCCACTTGCAAAATTGAGAGATACTATCAGGACTGTGCAAATACATTGCTCTGATTAATTTTCCTGAGGTGAAATATGAAAATATTTATAAAATTGAGAATCCTGCCATGAATAAAATTTTCTCTGTGATATATAATAAACTAAAATAAGCCATAACGTGTAACTATCTTAAATGAAACTGTAAAAATGTTTAAATAATAAAGAACTGAATGAAAAGATTTCACTCTGAGAGTAAAAAGAATCCATATCGGGACATTACTCTAGGTTGCTTAAAATATTAACGAATATTCAATAACAAAGTAAAGATTAATTTATCTTAGAGGGTTTTATATTTGATTTTCTAAATATTGTTATGGAAGTTGCATTTTATTACCCTTTCTTTAGACTCCTTTCTCATGTATAAAGGGCTAATTTTTCAATATGAAAGTAAAAGGTATTCAGGGTCAAAAGAATTAGATCTTTAGTTTTAATGATATTGAATAATTCAGTTTTATTTTAGGGAGAATATATTTGATTCTAGAGTTTCTTGTCATTTGTAAAATGACAAATTTCAATTGTGCATTCTTTTATAGATTCCTTAAGAATGTATTTGAACAAATCATTGATATAAAGGAAGGGTTAATTGAGAAATAAACACACTAATATACAAAGCATTTCTTTTATATGAAGCTCTAGCAATATTCTATTGTCAATCCAAACAGAACAAACTAAAATGAGATAATTGGGAAGGTGCCCATAAAGTCAGCCTGTGTATATTATCACAACTATATGTGAGATAATATTTGTTTTAAAAAGATTCTATGGCACTGTAAACTCAGTCTCATTAGAGACTGCATTTAAAAGGCTTATAAAGTTACTCATTAATGTTATCTTGTTGTATCTCCACAGCTTTTTCATTAAAGAAAATTCAGCAGAAAGCATTTTCTCCTGATAGCAGGAACCAATTTGCAATAAATGTTCTGGAAACCACTAGGGAAGCCATTACTGAGGTCTAATAAAAACAGACAAGCGTAACTTGTTCTATATTTTTGTTTCAATCACATACAGATGAGACCCCGCTTTCCACACCAACCGCAAGAGACAGCCTTGACAAACTTTCTCTAACTGGGCATGGACAACCACTACCTCCAGGTTTTCCACCTCCTTTTCTGTTTCCTGATGGACTGTCTTCCATAGAGACCCTTCTGACTAACATACAGGTAGGCCTTTTTGTAATCTGGAAGGTAGGAACGTGGAAGATCCAGCTGTAGATTTTTCCCAAATTCATACTATTCCAACTTAATCCGTTCATGGGATTGACCGAACAATGGCATTGGACTTTTCCCAGCAATTTAAGATTTTAAACTTGCTACACTAATCAAGTTGGTTTAGAAATACTGATATATGTATATTCAGCCTTAATAAAAGCTTCGATGAAAATGACCTGGGATTTGAAAAATCATTCTGCCTAAATGTTCTCCTTATTGCCAACTGATGGGAGGAATCTAACTGTTTAAGTTTGTCTGATTTACTCAATAACGGCACACCAGTTCTAATAAATATTTAGTTATTTTTAAACTGCTGGCCTTCCAGTGAGGAAATGATATGTTTAGTCACTTAGAATATGTCTAATATAAAAGAATCCAAAAAATCCCTTCTTTAGTAAATAAGTTTGTTTCAGTTAATAGGGTTTCTTCAAAGAATAGACTTCAAAAAGCTATACAAAACTTTCCACGGATTTCCTATGTAGTCCTCAGGATGTATATTTTCCGTACAGTACATTATGAATCAAAAATACTTACAGTTAACAATAACATAGAACATGGAGCCAAAGTAATAAGAGTGTTTGGGATACAAGAAAGAGTAATTTTCTTGCCCACACATGAAGTGATCATGTGGACCCCAGATGGAGATTTTGGCCATCTACTTCTCCCTATTTGGAGTAGCTAATAATAAGAATGTGCTTGCAGATACTCTGCTGTTATTTATTTTTTTTTAATTTTTACTCTAGCACTTGATTCTTCGTGATATTTTTCTGTACACATTTCCTACCATATTAAACTTTCTCCCAGTAGAAATGTAATTAATTTTATTTACCTCTCCAAGGACATAACAGAAGGCCTTTAATGTAACATATCTTCTCATCTATTAATGTGGCATTTTTAATACTAATGTAATTAGAGTCTCCAGAACTGTATTCAACTTTAAGGTTTTATATCTCAGTAATTCAAATAAATCATAAATCTAGCCTAAACTTAAGGCCAAATAGTTGATTATATTTTAAAATATACATAGGCTTTTTTTCTAAATTTGACCCATATTATTGTTTTTTTAGTGAGGTAGAATTTTTAATGAATTTCTCTTTTGTGAAATTAAATGATTTCAGAAAATATCCTTCAACATTTCTGAATTTACAGTCTGAAAGGAGGGAACAATTAATTTTGTTATGTTAACAACTCCGAATGAAGCAACAAAAAAGCTAAGGGTTTACGTAAAATTCTCTATCCAGGTGTATGTATCTTCATTAACTAAAACGTCTTTAAAGAGGAAAGTGGTCATTTAACTTTAATTTCAGTGGAGAAAACATTTCTGGATTTCATCAGTATAAACCAGCTTGCTCATCTGAAAAGTGGGTTTACACATGGACTCTTGCATTCTAAGTCAGATACTGTCAGTTTGGGTGTATTTATCCACCAGCCTCCCCCACCCCCTCCACCAGTATTACCCAGACTAGAAATGTATCTGCATCACCTCAAACTGCAATTATTTCTTTAAAAAAGAAGAAAAGAAAACCCCAGTTTTAAAATGTACAGATTTTAGACAAATATTTTATTGATGGTATCTCTAGATTTAATATACTCTCCTTTATGACCTTCCAACCAGCCTTGTGGACATATTTTAGCAAGAGTTGATGATGGGACAGTAGTCAAAGCAAACTAAATTATTTATTGCTAGTCCCAAACCATAGGGATCTGGGTCCATCAAAGTTAAAACTCCCACAATAAGAATACTTTGTTAAAAATAAATTATGCTTGTCCATTTCAGTGTATTCATGTATGTGAACATAAGGTAAAATAAAAATTAAAAATCTTACTGAGTTCCATGCATAGGAAGACACACACACATACACAGTACATGCATACATACTAATAAGCGTGTACACATATATACACACCCACATATATACGGGATTTATGTTTAGTAATGGTTTTACATCATTTTTTAAAAATGCTAGTTCTTTTATTATTGCCACATTTATTGAGTTATAGTAATATCCTAGGAATGGTATAGAATGTTTAAGTAGTCCTGACCCTGGCTTACTGGGCATACAGTATAAATGTGTTTGCTGTCCAAATTCTAATTTGGGTAATCACGTCCTGCCTACCTCAATTTCCTCTGCAATTTCAATTATATATAATGGGGTTCTCTGCTTTCTATTTCAAAATGGTAACATACTTTTTGTGGGGTAAACTTAAATCTCCATATTTCTTTTGGAGCTATTTTATCAGGATGGCAATGAAAAACATTTGAGTTAAAAATGTTTGCATGTTTCAAATCATACAACGCCATATATGAAATTAAAGCTTTATTATGTATACCTACTATTTTAATTAAACCTAAGACATGGGGTCATATTTAAATTTAATGTATTGAGGTCTCTTTTTTCTTACAATTAATGACCGAAAGCCCTTCAAAAAAATGTGTTTAAGTGTTTATTGTTCTAATATTAAATAACTTAATTTCATGATACTCTATAATTTGATAAATTTCAATTTTAAAATTTGTAATGGTTGGTACAGATGTTCTTGCCATGATATATCAGAATTGAATTTTCATAAATTTTTTTTCTTTGTGCTTTAAAAGAGGACCTGTAGAAAAATACTACATACTAGTGTTTTTAAATATACTATATATACTATACATACTAAATATATATATCTACAGTGTAGTAATTTCACTTTAGTGAGTGATATGGATTTATTCCAGGTTTTCCTTTTTGAGATTTTTTTTTTTTTAAGATGTTATTTATTTATTTGAGAGAGAGGGAGAGTGCAGAGGGAGAGTGAGAGGGAGGGAGAAGCAGACTCCCCGCTGAGCAGGGAGCCTGATGCGGGGCTCAGTCCCAGGACCTTGAGATCATAACCCTAGCCGAAGGCAGATGCCCAACCCACTGAGCCACCCAGGTGCCCCAACTTTTTGGGATTTTTAAAAATTTTATTTTATGTGGAATTTTGTTTTTCTCAATGTGGGCAATCTTTTATTATGCCTTTCTCACTCAAACATGTCCAAACTCACTCCCTATGAGATTTTAGGTGAGGAAACTAGAATTTTAGTGTCAATTTACTGAATGTGACCCCTTCGAACATTGGCTACCCAATTAACAAATACACTTAAGGGAGAACTTTATTCTCATTCTGAGCTTTCATGCTGTAAATTATCACTACAATCTGTTTGTACATAGGATTGGGAACAAATAATTTACATTGTTTGTCTTATAAGAATTATTTAAAATGACTTACAAATATTAAAATAAGAATAGGTAAATAAAAAAAAGAAAGGTAAAATAAGGTAGGGAATATAAAACTTAGTTATGGATAAGGTTAGCATTGAAGATATATGCCTTGAGGGATATATGATAGGAGTTTGGTTCATTATGATTTGTCTATTTGGAGGAATTAAATAAACAAAGGAAGACCTAAAAGGATTGTTAAAACCACAGTAAATGGCAAGTCACAGATTGAATCACTGTGGTCTAATAAATAAACATAATACAACTATGGTACTTAGGAAGTATTCTCTAATTTCTGTGTTTGACAAAAGAAAATGAAGAAGAATCTGACTAAGACCAAAACACTCTGATTATACATCTTCCAGTCTTTACATTTCAATGTCATGGCCAATGATGTTATATTTTTTACATTTAAAAGAAGCTAATAGTTTTGTATTTGCATTTTTAATACATCATTTTAATTATAACAGAGTTAGACAAAATACTTAGAGGAGGAAACTTTCAAAAAGATAAACAACAAAATAGGACATTGGCTTCAAAATATGGGTAGACTAGGATCAGATATATTGGTGTTATCTCTTTTTATGTTTAATCATACTTACATATTCTTTTTTTCTCATTACCAATTTGTGAAAAGAGTTCATTAAAAAAAACAAACAAACAGTGAAATAGATCCAATATTCTAAACACAGTTTACTCTGATGAAGAGAATAGCATTAATCTCTTAAAAGTCTGAACTATATACCATACTTAAGGTATATTGTATATCATAATGTATATTGTATATCACAACAATAATAATGACAATAGTAAAAACTAATATTTATTGAGCAATCTTAATGTGTCATTACATAGGAAAAATACTCCTGTGTGTGTCTTCTGCTCTCAATATCTTACTGCAACATCACTTCACTTTGGACGCTTCTGCTCACCAAATGTCTGGTAGTTAATTTCCACACCAAGCAATTCTGTAACACCGGCTGGACTCTCTACAATTTAACTCAGTTCTGACACTGTCTACCTGGAGATAGCCTCAGATCTCATCGTTTCAGTCCCACAAGATTGCCCCCTACCCAAATGTCAGATGCCAGTTGTAAGTCCAGGTTGTAATCTTGGCTACCGACCAACCGGCTATTGATCAGAGGTTCCCATCACCCCCTCCTCAGGTTCAGTTAATTTACTAGAGCAGCTCACAGAGCTCAGGAAAACATTTTACTTACTAGGTTACAAGTTTATTATCAAGGGATATAGCTCAGAAACAGTCAAGATGGCAGAGATGTATAGGGCAAGGTATGTGGGAAGGGGTGCAGAGCTCTCGTGCCTTCTCTGAGCACACTACCTCCCCAGTACCTCCACGTGTTGACCAACCCAGAAGCTCTTTGAACTCTGTCCTTTTGAGTTTTCATAGAGGTTTCATTATTTAGGTATGATTGATTAAATCACGCATAGTTGGTGATTAATTCAAACCTCTAGCCCCTCTGTCTTCCCAGAGGTTGGAGGGGAGAGGGGGGTGGAGAGAGGTAGGGCTGAAAGTCCCAACCCTGAGTTGGTTTCCCTGACAACCAGATTCCAATCATAGGGCTTTCCAAAAGTCACCTTATTAAAATAAACTCAGGTGTAGTTGGGCGGGGCTTATTATGAATAATAAAAGACACCCATTTCATTTTTTTACTCTTATCACTTAGGAAAGTCCACCCATTGTAGGATCTTTGTGCCACAATTGGGATGAAGACCAAATATGTTTCTTTTTTTTAATTTAATTTTATTTATTTATTTATTTGGGAGAGAACAAGAGCTAGAGAGAGAGCATGAGCAGGGGGGAAGGGCAGAGGCAGAGGGAGAAACAGACTCCCTGCTGAGCAGGGAGCCTGATGTGGGACCCAAGACCCTAGAATCATGACCTGAGCCAAAGGTAGATGCTTAACTGCCTGAGCCACCTAGGCACCCCCCAAATATGTTTCTTATTATAAATCACAATATCTACAGTCCATCTCTATGCTAATTCTATATGATATTACATTGAATCATCTTTATAATCCTATATAGTGGATTTCATTATCATCCGCATTTTACAGATGAGTAAACGGAGGTGGACAAGTCTTCTGATCAAGGTTATGCAATGGTGGTGGAGTCTGGATTTAAACATAGGCAGGATAATTACAGAGCCCATGTTGCTGTATCGCCATACATGATCATATGAATCACAAGATGGATTTTATACCTAGAAGTGCTTTTGAGGGGGTATGCGTTATTGACCAGTTTTTTGAGAACAAGAGCCATAACCATTAAACTAAGTGTAGTTGTACCTTTCGTTATAAGAGCTTCTGTGAATATGCATTAGTTGATCCTGCTCTAGTATATATTTGTTTGTCTATAAAAGTTCCTGGATTCCAGGGACACCATTTCTTCTCATCCTGGAAAGAAACATTAAAAGAAAAAAATAAATAAGCTTGGGAGCTCTGACCTAAGCTTAGTCAATTTACTAGTTTGGGAATTTGTATAAGTCATCTGATCTTTCTGGACCTTGTTTTTTTTCAGCTTTAAAAGGTTTTAATTAGAATGGGCAAATCACGGGCGCCTGGGTGGCTCAGTTGGTTAAGCGACTGCCTTCGGCTCAGGTCATGATCCTGGAGTCCCAGGATCCAGTCCCGCATCGGGCTCCCTGCTCAGCGGGGGGTCTGCTTCCCCCTCTGCCCTCTTCCCTCTTGTGCTCTCTGTCTCTCATTCTCTCTCTCTCAAATAAATAAATAAAATCTTAAAAAAAAAAAAAAAGAATGGGCAAATCACTGAAATCCCCTTCAAGTCAGGTATTTACTCTCTTTAGAAGCAATGCATTATTGAACAGAATTTTGTCACATTAATTCCAGTGACACTCAAAGAACTTTAGTCACCATCTGATTCTGAAACAGTTTTTGTATAAAAAACAAATATGGCCAAGTAAGCTTTTAATCTAGGATCCAACTAGTAAATTAAGAAATGTTTCCTTCATATCAGTATTACTTTAACTTCTCTTATACAAGCAGATATTTGCACTTTCTAGGCTATAGAAGTAGTTGAAAACTTGCTAAATCAATTACAATGCCCTTCTGAAAAGAAATATATATATAGACTTGTTCTTTGGGAAGTGATTAAAATAATCTGATTTACAAGGTAGGTCATTTTAGAAAACGAAAACATTTGTGTATACGACAACAAGTATGCCTCACTTATGGGAAAGAAATTTGAGGCCAAACAACCATTGTCTCTTATAATTGCTATGCCATGGAGTAAGCTTTAAACACATTTCTTTAGAATTGTCATTGTTGAACATCATAACTGACCCCCCCCCCGGAGAAAAATTCATGTTTTAAACGTTGTGTCTTTTGCTGTGATTCGTCATCACAGAATTGTCATCACAGAATTTTGCTCAATCCTGCATGTCCACGTGAGACTCAGCATTTAGTGTGACCTTTGCATATGATCTACCTGGAAAATTTACAGAAGTTACACAAATCTGAAAGTACTATTATCACTGATGGTTAAAATGGTGTCCTAATGATCTGTAGACTTTGTGAACACTACTTGCTATTGCTTTTCCCAGCCCCCTGTTGCATTGAAATTTAATCGGTTTTCTGTATTTTTGCAGCGAAGCTGTCACGGGCAATAACATATTTTTGCATATGTATCAGTTTGGCTCTAGTGCAGATTTTTGTTCACACTGGACTCCTACTGATATGCACTGATTTAAGTCTAAAAATGAAACTTAATTTTATATAGCTTATAAGTAGTCCCTGGAGGGTATTGGATCTTAAAGCTAGTATTTTTCAGACATAATCAGCAGGAATAGGTAATGTATTACCATTAGGGACATTAGCAGCAACTGTAACAACAGAAAACAGTAAACATAAATGCTCTTAGCAACTTCGTATGTTACAACAAATATTAATGTAAAATTACACAAATTAGAGTTGCGGTTTAACATTATTCAACATGTTTATTCATAATGATTGTTTCATATTTAAAGAACACCAAAATATTGTGTTTTGTCAGCCAAGGACAGTAATAGTTTAATAGTAATTTATTTTGAACAGCTACTGATAATACAACCAATCAACACATTAAGTGGTGCCAACATTGGCATCTTGCTAAATAATCTCTAGACACTGCACAGAGAGTGCATCTTTCAAAGATAAGTCAACAAGAGCAATCAGAGCAGAAAATTAGAATTTGGTATCTTAGAATTAAAATACAGCTAAACTAAAGTTTTAATTGGGGTGATCTAAAAGGGCACTTGATGTAATGATCTCTTTCATTTGTTACTAATTGTTTGTTCCTGATGAAGAAGAAACATACACAGGAATGTTGCTGAATTGAGTTAAGATGGCAGTTTCCTTAGCAGCTATGTTTTATTGTTAAAAACAAAAGAGTAGGGAGGGGCAAACAGCCATGTAGAAACCCTCCAGCTTGTTTCATTTCACAAGAATTACACCAGGAAATTCAGGGTCAGTTATAACAAACATGAAATAATTTATATGTGCTTGAAAAGAGAATAAAATGGCTTATGATAATGCTACATGGGTGAGCTGATCTAAGGGTACACCTCTGTTGGGCTAACAAGTCAAGCCAGAGTGGTTCTGACTGCTTATGTTGTCTCCTGCAAGAAGGGTCCTATCTTAGAGTGTATTTACAAATGGCACCAACTTCCACTTCATTTATCATTTCAGTTGAAAATTTTAGTCTCTATGGGGCACCTGGTTGGCTCAGTTGGTTAAGTATCAGACTCTTGATTTCAGCTCAGGTCGTGATCTCAGGGTTGTGAAATTGAGCCCCATGTCAGGATCCACACTCAGTGCAGAGTCTGCTTGAGATTCTCTCTCTCCCACTCCCTGTGCCTCTCTCCTTGCTTGTGTGCTTTCTCTCTCTCTCTCTCAAATAAATAAAATAAAATCTTAAAAAAAACAAAAAGAAAATTTCACAGACCAAGGCAAAATACCTTCCACTTCAAAAAGGCTTTTTGTATTGCTGAGCTGATGATAGAAATTTTAGCTCTAATTTTTACTAATAATTTTCTAAAGGATTTTGAGAGAGAGCATGTGCAGATTACTTTTTCTTTGTTTTCCATAATCTCATTTTCAAGAATCTCAGAATATTCCAAAATTTTTTAATTAGCAAAGAGTAAATCAACTTTCATGTATATCTCTTATACAAGAGATTCCATCATCTATTGTATAAATAAACTTTACTCTTACCGTATACTCTTGAGTTATACTGTCAAATAGTCCCCTAAAAGTTATTCTCAATTTATTATAACCATTTTAAATGACTTTTTAAAAAATAACACACTATTAAAACACTAGGTTTTGGATCCCTTACATATATGCCTCAAGAAAAAATATACCAGTACTATAATTTCTGTTCAACAAATTTTTAGAATCTACTATATGGTAGGCACTCTCTGGACTCTGGGTGACATAGTACCAAATGAGAGAAAATGTCTCTGCCCTCATTTAGCTTTAGATCTAGATATCTAATTAAAAGCAATCAAACCTGCATGGCAAAAACATTTGTCTTCCTAATATGGTTTAATTAGATTTAGAAATTTTGTGCTTTAGTTGAAGTACTTGTCCTAGTGAATACAGAGTGAATATACAAGAATGAAAGAATTTGATAAGTTGGTTCTTTTTTAAAAATGCTTTCAAGTAATGAATGAAATGTGCTTTGCTCCAAAATATTACAATTTTGAATGCCTTCTTTTTACAGGGGCTCTTGAAAGTTGCCATAGATAATGCCAGAGCTCAAGAAAAACAAGTCCAACTGGAAAAAACAGAGCTGAAGATGGATTTTTTAAGGGAAAGAGAACTGAGGGAAACACTTGAGAAGCAGTTGGCTATGGAACAAAAGAATAGAGGTATTTCTGAACTTCCAAATAAGTGTAATACTTTCAATAAAATATTTAACAGAACAATACTATGTTTGGTGATTTACTATGAGACTACAGCTTTTTTGTTAATTTACTTATAGCTGAGGTTCACAGCAGGATTTGAATCCTGGGCTCATTGTAATTTTTCATCTCCAGAGTATATATGGTTTCTCTTCTGTTTGTACCTCAGGGAATTGAAATATATCTATTATATCATTAATCACATAATTTTTATTGCTCATAGAGCTTAACAAATAATTTTAAGATAAGAATGAGCTCTGATGACAGCCATGAAGAAAAATTTTATATTCATTCACAATTGCCCTTCGAAAAACTTAAGAGTTAAAGTCATAAAGCTAAAATAGAAAATACTGATTATTCAAGCGAAACAGATTTAGTAAGATATTTATCAACTGAAATTGAAGACTGATGAATATCTGAACAAATGACCAAAGTTGAGTGTTTGTATAATTTTCTTTCTGAATGCCTCATTTTCATCCAACAAGGTCAAATACACATTAGTGTAGAAATCAATATGAATTTTTATTGGTTAAAAATAATGATATTACCAATCTATGAATTGCTTCTTCTAACACACTTTACAGTGCATGTATAGATAATTTTGAAGGTCATTCATATTTGTGTGTTTATATTATGTATGAGATTAAGAGTATTTTCTTTAAAACCAACTTTCCCTTTGCCTCAACTATAAGATACTCCTAAATACTCTAGAGGGGGAGCACCTATTCCCTCATCTAATAAGTATCCAATAAAAATATTCCACGTATCCTCCTTTTATATGTCTGATACAGTCATTTGAAAATCATTGTTTCTCTTTTGTTTTTCAAACCAGCAAGACTTGGTAGGTTTTTACATTAGTTACTATGAAGCAATAGCTAGTGGGTTCCTGGGACGAGGCTAATTTGGGAAAACCATCATCACCCTTGTATAGCATTCATCTAGATAATGTGATGTCACATAGATTTAGGTACCAAAGTAATCAAAACAAGATAAACATTGATAATGGGATGTGTTCTTTGTGAATAATGAAGATTGGTCAAAGGGTTCATTATATAGAACCATCTTCCATGAGATAGCCATGTCTTGATTTTGTTCTCACTTGGAGAAGTCTTTTATTATTATTATTATTATTATTATTATTATTATTATTATTTTCTGACAAGACTTACAGTTAGACCCTCGAATTCCTAAAGTAATCTTTTGGTTACTTGAGAGAACTTTAGAATTTTACTGGTTCAAATCATTTGGAGGACTTACATTGTTTTTTTTCTTTAACCACTAGAGGGCAAAACACTTCACAGATCACATCATGATCCTCCCATTTAATTAATTGTGAACAATAAATTAAAGGTAATAGCTATCAATAATTATCTATTATAAATGTATCTATTGAAGTAGTGTACTACCCTGAAGAGAGAACATGGCAATACCATTCGGTTCAATCACAGAAGAGGAAACAATAAGCAGTCAATGACAAGACACTGGGTATTGAGCTTTTAGTCCCATGGAAGTTTACAATCCAAATAAGTAATTCAGAAATTACTGTTTATTTTCAAAGACACTTATAAGCAATCATCTTTGGAAAGGAATACAGTAGGCAAATGATTTTGTTAAGATAAGCATATGATTTTCACCCTATTAAGTAAAGGAAATTAGCATTTATTCGAAACCGGTTTTATTTTTATTAAAAGACTGTAGCCAACGTACATTTTGATAAAAAAGAAGTCTCTGTTAATATGTATTACCAGCAACAATAAACTCAACAAGTTAATGGTTTGCCACCTTAATAGTATTAATAATTATAAAAACGGGACATATGAAGATTAGAAATTGAAACAAATTCTTACTTGACCCTTTATTACTTTGTTTTATATTTTGACTAAATACTATATTAAATAAAAAATGTTGTTATTCTTTCATCTGTAGTAAGAAATCAAATAGTAAACTTGGAATGACTACTCCCTATGACTAAGTCTACCAAAAGGATATTCTCATACTGATTCTGTCATATTCACATTCACATCCACAATGTTTATCAACCAGGAAAAAAAACCAAAAAAACATTTGGGTGTTCCCCGTATGCTAACTGCTTACCTTATATATATTGTAAAAGCTAAAATAATTATGATACTGAAAGTATAATTAACGTACATTTTGTGAACAACATTTATTTGTTACTATTTATTGATTACATATTATATACAAATGTTTAAATTGTCTAGTAGGAGAAAATGTATCATAATTAACTTTTTGTATCATAATCTAGTTTTGTATATAAATACCACATTATTGTAAGCAGTCGCACATTAGTATTATCAGTGAGGTTTTATATTCCATCAGATTTCAGCAGAGTAAAACATAATTCTTGAAATATGTTGTAGTGCATATAAATTTCTTTGAAGAAATTATTGATATCTCTGGGCAAATTACAATAGCTTCATCCCCCCATAAGATAGCTTCTATGTTAATAATTAAGAATATTAACTCATTATATACAATATTATTTATTGCATTTTTTTTAATTTCAAGAAAAATTTCTTAAAAACTAATTGGTGTAACTTTTCGCAAAACAACTACAGGGGAAATGCTCCATTTACTATTCAAAATTGGTGCTTCATTGAGAGATAGGAGGCATGCTTATAAAGGTTTGCATTATTCTAACTACTCTGCACTATTCTGATTCAAGGGCAGAGACTAATCCACAAAATTCTTTTAATCAGGCTTCCTTTATCAGTGTATATAAATATTTACTAAAATTAATTTCCCCTTAAACCTGTCTCTACATATGACAATTAAAGGCATCTTTTTTTTTAAATTTTTTTTATTCTTATGTTAATCCCCATACATTACATCATTAGTTTTAGATGTAGTGTTCCATGATTCATTGTTTGTGCATAACACCCAGTGCTCCATGCAGAATGTGCCCTCCTCAATACCCACCACCAGGCTAACCCATCCTCCCACCCCCCTTCCCTCTAGAACCCTCAGTTTGTTTTTCAGAGTCCATCGTCTCTCATTGTTCGTCTACCCCTCCGATTTCCCCCCCTTCATTCTTCCCCTCCTGCTACCTTCTTCTTCTTCTTCTTTTTTTCTTAACATATATTGCATTATTTGTTTCAGAGGTACAGATCTGAGACTCAACAGTCTTGCACAATTCACAGCGCTTACCAGAGCACATACCCTCCCCAGTGTCAATCACCCAGTCACCCCATCCCTCCCACTCCACCCCCCACTCCAGGAACCCTCAGTTTGTTTCCTGCGATTAAGAATTCCTCATATCAGTGAGGTCATATGATACATGCCTTTCTCTGTTTGACTTATTTCGCTCAACATAATACCCTCCAGTTCCATCCACGTCGTTGCAAATGGCAAGATCTCATTCCTTTTGATGGCTGCATAATATTCCATTGTATATATATACCACATCTTCTTTATCCATTCATCTGTCGATGGACATCTTGGCTCTGTAATATAATAGTTCAAGGCTAAATAAAAATTGGCCTCCTTGGATGGTTCACTGGGATTTTATTTTAGGTAAAGGTGGGATTTTTTTAACTTCCTCTGCAGAGGTAGGCTCCATCCAGCACCTGGGGCAGGGGGAGGGAGGAAGAATATTATAAAAAAACATAGATCATTTGTAAGCATGTGTAAGTTGGAACATTGCAAAAACTTTTTAAAATAAAATATACAAACACTCTTTTCTAGCCATAGTTCAAAAAAGGCTAAAGAAGGAGAAGAAGGCAAAGAGAAAATTACAGGAAGCGCTTGAATTTGAGACTAAGCGGCGGGAACAAGCAGAGCAAACACTAAAACAGGCAGCTTCTACAGAGAGTCTCAGGGTCTTAAACGGTAAGAGGGGGCATCTTTATGCCTGGCTAACTAACATTCACTTTTTAGCACTCAAAGGACAATTTAAACCTGTGTTTGTGGTTTTATATCTTTATCTGTATATCTAGTGATTCATTAAACTGTGCGCCTAGCTGAAAGCTTGGTGGGCAGTAGTCCCACTTGTTGGGGCAATGCTTGGTTTCATAGGGGCTTTCACCCTCTTTTTTTGGCTTAACTCCAGTATCTGGGACCTGACCTCGCTTTCCTGTTTAGCTGAGTCTGTCTCTACTGAAATAGGATAAAATATTAATCGGAGAACGTCCCAACCCCATCCCACGTTATGAACAATTTTGTGTTACTTATTTCTCTCTTCAAATATTTTGATAATTCTTGTGGTTCTAGTCTTTGTTCAACCTTTAAAAGATGACAAAGATTTATGTAATTTTAATTCAGCACCAAAGTAACAGGTTGCTCTTTTTTTTTTTAAAGGACAATAGCATCAAATGAAATATGTGTCACTCTTACCTTTCTGTGCTTTTAGACTCTCTGACCCCAGAGATAGAAGCTGACCGCAGCGGCAGCCGAACAGATGCTGAAAGGACAATACAAGGTAGGAATTTGCAAAAGGCTATAAATCTAGATCTTGCTATATGAGTTTTTCCTCAGCTTTAGCCTGCTATTCAAGCATGTAGCCTACCATCTGGGCCACATCAAAACAAGTTCAAACAAGGTCAAGTTCATCTTGCTTGTTTATATGAGTGAATTCATTTTGTGCTGATAGATTTTCTTTAAATTAACAGGTCATTTCTGTTTATACAATGCAATTAAAAAGGAATAATTAATTTTAAACAATGTATGATTTAATCTTGGACACAGTAAATGTGCTTTTATCGAATGCTTGAATCCCAGTCTCACTCAGGAAGGGTTTATAAGTTCTATACCATCTGAATAAAAGCATGGGTTAATCAAATAGGTAGTTCTTAAATTTGAAAATTCCTCCTTCTCATTTTTGTGACAGATACTGCAAGGTACGTGCAAAATAGACTGGTTGAATGTTAACAATAAATAAGACTGTTCAGTCCTCTGTGGATTTTCTGAATGTTCTCTATGCCATTATATACATTTTAATAACACAAATGTGCTGAGCAAAATCGTATATAGAATACTAAAGGGAGTTGTATTAAACACTCAGAAGAGCTAAATATGTATATTGCCGAGACCATACTATTAGGAAAGAACAAGATCTGAAGGTAACATTTATAGTCTAACATCTATTCTAGGCAATAAACTCAGTCTAACAACATGAATACTAAACAGTACAAAGAGCATTTGTTTTCTATTTTAAGTGAAGATGGTTCTTCAAAGAGAAGCCTAAAATGATTAACTGCTATAATCCTCCCAATTGCTTTTATTTTGCATTTTAAGCTCAGTCATTTTGGGGATATTGTTTGACATTAATTGTGCTACTCAATCAGCTCCGAAAGTGTCAGCTTTGGTTTAGTGTAAAGGAAATATACTTTTGTAAAGTATCAGATATGCAGTAAGTAAAAATCAGAAACTTGCAGGAACATTTCTGAAGAATGTTTTTGCCTATATTTATTTTACCTAAAACCATGATAATTATTTTTTAAATCCTGAGGTTCAAACCAATTGTTTTTTTGAGATACCTCCTTGTGTATACAAGATTAATGCAATTGTAGATGTAGAGAAGACTTTTTTTAGAGCACTATGGATATCAGCAAAATTATGTGTGTGTGTGTGCATCTATAATCTTATTAAAATCATAAGATTTCTGTTGCATCTCTTTTAAAAATTGCATACACATGTTAACAAATTAGTAATAGCAAAGCCAGTCCTCTTTATCAGGAATGATAATTTCAATCAGATCAATATAAATATCAGCCCTGATTTGTGTGCCGGGGACCACTCATGCATTAACATAGCCAGTGGCCAAAGGGGGTCTAAGAAAGCACATGAGTCTCCGGGTAGATGTGACATATAAATTGTCTGGTATCTACAACAAATCAATCCAAGAAAAATTATAGACAGTATATTCCTGCATATTAATGGAAGATTTGTTGTCAATGTTAAGAAGTGATTAGGCAATGATTAAACACTTTGCATAGTTAACATTATGTCAACATTATTCCAGGAATTTGCTATCAGTAAAATTTTGGTCATCAATAAGGCTATAGTTATTTTAATTTGAGCAAAACTCACATGTATTCAGATATACACTTTAATATGCATAAAGTCTTGCTTGATAAGGTTGAAGTTTTGACAACTCCTATTTTCTACTGTGATTTGCTTATTCCAAGTAAAATTTTAAATCATAAATTGCCTTCCTTTTGCTATCCAAAATGCTCTCCGTTGGGTAACAAAGAAAACCCACCCAAACAACTTTATAATTAAGGCAATAAAACATTTGAAGAACAGTTATACATAGTGATTTAAAGCCAAATATAAATGATTATGGAGTTATTTAATGCTTTGCTTTAGTTGTAATATAAAATCTTAATCATTGAATTCATTCATTCAGCCAGTCAATTAAAAATGTGTTCCTTAATTCTAATGTGAACAATCAGTAATACTCTACTTTTTGTATACTTATCCTTGGATTTAATGGTTTTGTTATATTGTTCAAAATGCACAGTTTTCAATAAAACCCTTAACTCATATTCATGGTTTTAATTAGATAATATGATTTGTTTCTCAAATGTGATAAAAAACATTGTGGATGAATCTGTATTTTTATGTTTTAGTTGCCAAAAAGTTATTTTACTAGGAGTTGAACCCCCCAAGACTTTTAAAATACCAGGCAGACCCAAGAGATCATCTTTTGCTACTCTAATCCCACTAAATAAGCTCATTTGGCCCTGTGAGCCTTTTTTTTCAAACCTTAGACTAAATGAATACATTTAGAAGCCAACAGAACAAAATTAACTGTGAACAGAAAAAAATCAAAGATAAAAAACTAGTTAAATTTTGAGTCGAAGCACAACAATGGGAAAGGCAAAGAAGAAAGAAATAGAACTCATTGCTAATTTGTGAAATGGTCTATGTCATGCATTTGGGGAGCCATGAGCACCTGCTGCATCACAGTATAAGAACGACACAAATATGGCCTCTTCCTCCCTTTGCTTTCTTCGTCTTGGCGCCCCCAAGCCCAGGTGTTATGATACTCTGCATATTCTTTCTTGCTCCCGGTCTAACCATAAGTGAAATTATTCTCTGTTCCAAAATAAACTCAACTTAATTAGGAAAGACAAAGGAAACGCACATTTCTTTATGCTTGCCATGTATTTATTTATTTTTAACATTCTGGCAATAAATAAATGCCATGCTTGGCCCAAGAGTTAGTCACCTAGAAGTTGGGCACTTAAATACTGCTCAAGTGCCAGGTAATTACCCCCAAATAAGCACCTCAGTTTAGTTAGACTAAACATTGCCTCATTGGCATTTAGTACCACCGTTTCTGTAAAACTATAGAGGAGGGGAGGAGGGAATCAGACAGCAGTTTAGAAAATATTCCTGAGCAAAGAGGCCCTAAATAATTTATGATAAGTAAAGTAAATCAGCTCATCCTACACAAGGATAAATTCTTCATTGTTGATATTTCTAGTAGCTAACTCAAAATTCATGAGTTTAGTGGCAATATTGTGGTTAGAGAATAAACATCAAAAACTTTAAAAAAAACTTGTTTTAGGAGCTGAATTATATGGGGATTAACTCTTATGCCTTGAGTCTTGCAGATTTATATGGCATGATTTGTATTGGAAAATTTTATCTTACTTTAAAGCTTTTTGTAAGATCTTTTGAATATGCAGAGTAGACTGAGTTGATATAAATACTCGTTGGGCACTTTTTTGGACTAGTTAATAAATATCTTCCAAAACCCATTCTGCCCCCACACATATAAATGCCCATCCCCACACTATCTGCAGCCAAATCTAGAATATGATAGCTTTCTTGAGCTACATTCTAATTTCTTCTTAATCTCTCTCCCTGGACAATGGCACCCACTTAAATGGTTTATTTAACTGATATGTTTTGACAATTAATATATATATATATTAATAAATATATATATATATATCTCCAGCCCATTCAGACATTTCTTAAGAGGTCCAGGTAATATCCAGCTTTATTTGGCTGTCTCACAGAAGCCTCAAGGTCAAGTGCACAAAACCAAAACGATCGTGCACCCCCTGCACACCTGTCTTCATCCTATGTTCCTTCTCTCTGGAACCTTCATCTGCCCAGTCCAGCCTCCCCCTTAATTTATACTGAGGAAGAGCAGAGCACGCATTTCCCTCCCTCATCCTCCACACCCAGTTACAGCTCTTTCCCCTTGTCCTGGAACCCTCTCATCTTTTTTGATTTCCTGAAAGCCCCACATCTTTCTCCACCTATCAGGGACATAGTTCCTTCCTCCTTGCCTTTACTTACCCAACCTTGAAATCTCTTAGAAGTTACTGCTTCCAGGAATGCTTCCCAGACCACCCCTGCCCCTCCAGCACCTCCCCATCCCCTGGGTCTAATTCTACCTCTTCAAGGGTCTTACCATACTTTTCACTTCTCCACAATCACCGACTGTGCATTTGTAATGCCTTGCTCAGTGTCTTCTTCCTCTCTCTGGAAGATAGCTGAGCAGAGCGTGAACCATGTCTATTTTGGTCACTACCGTGGACCTGTATGTTTGACACATATATACGAATGTGTCAGATGTTTGTGCCGTATTTACAGTGCTGAATGTTCGATATATCGTGAAAGGATGTATCAACCATTGTTGACTTAGAACCTGTTTGATCTTTTTTTTTTTTTTAAGATTTTATTTATTTATTTATTTGAGAGAGAGAGAATGAGAGACAGAGAGCATGAGAGGGAGAAGGGTCAGAGGGAGAAGCAGACTCCCTGCCGAGCAGGGAGCCCGATGCGGGACTCGATCCAGGGACTCCAGGATCATGACCTGAGCCGAAGGCAGTCGCTTAACCAACTGAGCCACCCAGGCGCCCAGAACCTGTTTGATCTTGTGAATGCCAAGGGTCCTCATTATTCTGACATTTCTCAGACTTTGGATGGAGAGACTGATGTGAGGAAGTGAAGGATAATATAATTCTACCTGGGAAAGTCAGAAATACAAATTCTGGCAGAATTAATTTTCGTATCTGATTGCTGAATTAACAATATGTGTTTTTGCTTCTTATATGTGTGTGTAATGTTACTTTTTTGTTTGCACATTCAATGTAAGATTTGGATTCTGTGAATATTCACTTACACTCACTTTTTTCCATTTTAAATTTGTATTTAATTTAACATGTTATAGATACATTTCTTAAATAATACTTTCATCTTTTGTTTAATGTACTTTAACCTTATGCTTCTTTTTTGATTTCTTATAATTTTACATGATTAAATCTTCTTGATAAATTATTTAGGTTATCAATATATAGACACAAACTATAACATAGGACAATCATGGATTAGTGCTGTTTTATCTATGTCTTTTATCAATTTCTGAAGAGTCTGGAAAGTTAACTTTCAAAGTAGTAGCTTTGGCTTCTTTTTAAGAAAACCCATCTTTTTTTTTTTTCATTTATTTTTTTTATT